TTGAACCGCCAGCCGTCTGGTTAGCAGCCAAGTGTCTTAGCCACTATGCTACCAGAGCTCCCAATTGGACATGTAGTAGGTGATAAGATCGAGGAGTTCTGGAGCCACACGTGGAGGAGTAGGGTGCCAGAGTGAGAAACTTGGTTTCTGAAGGAAGAATAACATGACAAGAGCAACCATTTAGGCAGATCAGGCAGGGCTTGTAGGGAGGAGTATTTTCCCAAGACAGACAAATTATAAGTATGGAAATGTGATTTAACTGATAAACAAAGCAAATTAGTGATGGTGGTTGGAAGAAATCTGAGATAAAATCCAACATCACAGAAGAATAACAGCAGAGACAATCAATCAAAAAGCTGGAATCAAAAAGTAGAGCCAGCGGCAGAAAACAGAACGGCTCTTTATATAAGTTGATGCTGTGCCTAAGATCTAGAAAAAGGTGGAGGTATTGGGGGAGGGGAATTCATAGCAAAGAAATACTACTGTATTGGAATTTCTTTGAATCAGGGCTTTAAAGACATATAAACCACTAATAATCCAGCAAATCCATTATTGTCAATATACAGGGAGTTCTCTGCACTTTCAAGAAATAAATATCCACCTGTTTTAATGGCACATACTCAAGCTAGCTACTGAAAGTGATCTGTCTGGGTTTAGCCTCTGAAGTACAATAGTTTGAGAGCAAAGGAGATCTAATATGTTATGTGGAACTAATGCATTTAACTGACATTTGGCAGGAGTTGCCAGGGAATAAAGTGAGCCCCTCTGATTTCACTAACCCACTCTTCCTCATACCCTCTCCTTTTTTAGAAGAAGGAAAGGGTTTTTTCTTTCTTCTTTTTTTCTTGTTTTGGCAATTAGGCTCACCAATGAAGGTATCTAGCAAGGGAATTGTTTGTAAAGAATGTGGAGCTGATCTGTCTCAGCAGGGTAAAAAGCTGCCTGCCAGGAAGATTTGAAAAAAACTGTGAAATGAACTTGACCCCAAACTTTCTCATTAGTATTCTGCTGTTTCACATTTCTTCAACAGAGACAATATTAGACAACAGATATACCCACTGCATGGAGTCTATTCTGACTCTCAGTGAGAGTAAATCTTTTCAGAAGCAGACTGCCTCATCTTTCTTCTACAGAGCAGCTGGTGGGTTCAAACCACCAATCTTCTGGTTAGCAGTGAGAGTAAATCTTTTCAGAAGCAGACTGCCTCATCTTTCTTCTACAGAGCAGCTGGTGGGTTCAAACCACCGACCTTTTGGTTAGCAGTGAAATGCCTTAACCACTACACCACCAGAGTACCTTAGACAACAGACATAGTGAAGTTATTTCAGAGAAGGGCAAAATCAAAATGAATTACAAAATTTGATTCTTTTATTCACTTTTCAAACCTTGTTTTTGTTGCTATGTGCCATCGAGTCAGCCCCAACTCATAGCGACCCCTCCTTAGGTTTCCAAGGCAGTATCACTACAGAAGTAGATTGCCCAACCTT